GTTTGGGGACAACAAATATTGTATTTTGAGTTTTATACTTTGTGCCTTTGTGGTTTTTGTTGGGTTTTTCTGTTTGTTCCCCCCCCTGCTCAGTGCGTAGCAATCAAAAGTCACGGTCTTAATTAAAAAGAGCAACTGAATTTTAACCACAAAGTTTTAGGGAGAAAAAAAACCCCACCAAATGTAGTTTTAGCAAATTTTAAAATGTTTTTCTGTATCAAGTCAGAAAATCAGTATCACAACAGAACTAGGCAAAGAGAAATAGCCAATAAAGAGGCTTTTTTGGGAATATATAATCCTGACCCTTGGTATCTACATCTCGGTGTGTATCGATCTGTGTCTGCACGGACACACACGGGCAGGAGGAGGGGGGTTTGGGGGGGTGTGTGCATGTGTATATACATATTTTTATATATATGCATGTGTATATTTATATATATGCATGTATATATATATTTATATATATATAAAATGAAGGGATGGATGCGCGAGGGGAAGGGAATAAAACATCGACTTTTCCACTGTTTTCTACAGAACAGTTTACAACTTTGTGTAAGTTTTTCTACTACGTGAGCCTTTTTTACTTCAAAATGATTCCTTTTCTGGAAGCTTTTTCAGTTGTGATGCTCTATCTTGTTTTGAAATTTAAAAAAAAGAACAAAACCAAAAAAACAAATGTGAAAAAAAAAAATCGACTTTTTACCGATACCTAAATACAGAGGGGGAATCTTTTTTTTTTTTCTGTAGAATTTGTATTTAGTTTAAAGAAAAAAAAACTAATAACCTATCTATGGAGTTGTAAAAGCGCTGACATTCCATCGTGGCAGGATTTCAAAGCTCTTTTCTAAAGGCTTTCTGCTGCAGAGAGACTCGAACACGAGGAAAATGCCTCTGTTAAATGTGTTTTTGTTTGGTTTTTTTTATTATTATTTTAATAAAACTGCTCCATCAGGTCTATACTTAAGCTATATTTTCTAAAGCCTAATCATCCTTTAATATGCTGCGTATGAATTATCAGCATGGTTGCACTTTCTCAGTAATAATGTATGCCCTGCTAATTGGCTCCCGGGAAGGACTCGTTAGGTTTTTTTTTTAACGAAACAAATAGTACTTTGGGCAGAAGGTAATATTTATAGAGGTACCTCAAGACAAAAAAATTAAAAAAAAATTAAAAAAAAAAATAAAGAGCCTGAATATGCTGCATTTTGTTCCTTTAACATTTTTCATGTAGCATTTGTTTGCTTTTAGTTGGATTTTTTGGGGGGGGGGTGTAGAATTACTAGCTACCTGGTTTGCTTTTTTTGGGGGGGGACCCCAGTAGTGTCTTGGACTCTGTTTTTTCTTGCTCTCTCTTGTAGAATGTCGTACCCGGCCTTGGTTTCATGCAGTTGGTTTGTTTTTTGGGGTGGGGGGAATTGCCCGGCACCGTGTATGTGAAGGGGAGGGGGGGACCATAAGGAAAATAACGCTTTACGTCGACTTGAGGAAAAGGCTACTTATATTTCTAAAACAGACAATACATGTTCTTTATTCTTAATTAGTCTTATTTTTCCCTCGTGCTGCTTTCTTGACTCTTAATTAGGAGGGGACGGACGGACGGACGGGTCATTAATGGAGGAACAACCAAAGCCACCCAACTGACCCAGTTGGTCGATGTTTTTTGGGGGTGATGGAGAAGTGGTGGGACGTGGGCTCAGTGTCCCCAACCCCCCCAATGTCCCCAACCTGCCCCAAATCAGAGCAGGATCCCTCCCTCTCTCCAACCCCTCCTCTACTTCTTCCTTTCCGAGTCCGTAAAAACACCAAAAAAACATAATTAAATCTAAAAATCTGCAGAGATGGGGAATTTCTTTGTTGGGAACTGTTGAAGGAAGCTTCAAAGGCTGTGAAAAAAAAAAACCCGAGCATTTATTGTCATGTTTTTAAGCTTAGGTGGGTCCTTTCCCGAGTTTGTTTTACAGCTTGTTAAGGTAAAATAGTTTGCACTACTTTTGCAATAAACTCATGAAAAACCCTAACAGTTTCTGTTTTGGTTTCTTACTGTATAGATCTATACGACTAATACTAAAGAATTTTAGCATAGTGTTTTTCACCTCAGAACATAAAGACTTGTAACAAAGCTCAGAATGCTGTAATTCCTGACAAAATAATGATGTGAATGATATTTTATAAAAAGTTATTTTGTATGGTGTCAATTTTTGTTTTTGCCTCATAGTATGTCAATAAAATAAAATTCCTCATCTTTACAAGTTTGGCTTCGATGGCTCTTTCTTCAATTCTGCCGATTTCTGCTCTCACTTGTCCATTGTAAGATTTTCTTCAGTTTTCCAGGAGCACCCAGCGGGGACGGATTCCTGCCCTTAATGAATTTTCGGTGGTGAGTAGAGCGGAGCGGTGGGAGGACACCTCATCCTGAGAGGTCCTTACTCTACGCCAAATTTTGCTCTGTCAAATTGTAATCTAAATGTAAAGGTGCTGCACGGGGTGTGTGGGGTTATTCCTGGGGAGCAGCTCTGAGGAGAAACACCTGGGAGTCCTGGTGGACAATAGGATGACCATGAGGCAGCAATGTGCCCTTGTGGCCAAGAAGGCCAATGGCATCTTGGGGGGCATCAGGAAGAGCGTGACCAGCAGGTGGAGGGAGGTCATCCTGCCCCTCTGCTCTGCCCTGGGGAGGCCCCATCTGGAGCACTGGGTCCAGTTCTGGGCTCCCCAGTTCCAGAAGGACAGGGAACTGCTGGAGAGGGGACATTCAGCCGAAGTCCTCGCTGGGGATTAGTGAGCTGCCAAAATTCACCACAGCCACCTCCAAGGCCTTGATGTGACTCTTTATCAGGGAATGTAGGGATAGGATGAGGGGGAATGGTTTTAAACTGAAAGAGGGGAGGTTTAGATGAGATCTCAGGAAGAAATTCTTTGCTGTGAGGGTGGTGAGACACTGGAACAGGTTGCCCAGAGAAGCTGTGGCTGCCCCATCCCTGGAGGGGTTCAAGGCCAGGCTGGATGGGGCTTGGAGCAACCTGGTCTGGTGGGAGGTGTCCCTGCCCAGGGGGGTTGGAACTGGATGGTCTTTAAGGTCCCTTCCAACCCAAACCATTCTATGATTCCCCCCTGGAGGGATGGCCAGCAAGCGCTGCCCCCCTACGTGACTGACCCAGGCAAGAACCATGGAAAGCCTCTGCGTCAACTGTTGCTTTTCATACAAAACATTTATTTTACAAAGTTGCGTATAAAGTTCCACACAGGGCGGTTACCATTTCTATAGTAAAAAAACCAAAACTATATCCCCAAAACAAAAAACCAACCCCCCAAACAAAAACAAATGAAAAAGCCAGCTCCGTCGCTCACGCGGTAAAAGGGTCGCTCATTCTCAACAAGCCACATCTAAGAGACTTCATGGTGTGGTTTGGTGGAACACCACGGCCACGCTGCAGAGGTGGAGCCCAGGAGAGCAAAAGGTTCCAGCTGTACATATTTATGTTATCTAACCTGTGTTCTTTTTACCACCACAGCCCCAGAACCACACGAGCTCCTGGAATGGCTCATCCTCTGCCCTGTTCCTGTGCCCATGGGGCTTTTCAGGCCACCCCACAGAAGCAGCTGTTTTTACAGAAAGACCTTTTTTTTTAATAGTCTTGGTCCACAGGTAACACCCTGGCACCGTCCCAGAGAAGCCAGGGAGGGTTTGATGGGTTATGGGCTCCCCAAGGAGGCTGAGGACAGCAGACACCATGTAAAACACCTCCCCTCACACCTCTTCTTCTGCTCCGAGGAGAAACACAAAGTGTGGGAGAGGCCTCCCTTGAGTCAGAGACTGAAAAGCTGCCCACCCGTAAGAAAAATTAAATTTGGATACTGATTGTCTGGAGAAGTCACTTGAAATCATCTGAAGCAAGTTCCGCCCTCAGGTTCACCTCGGGCTCTTCTCACCCCACCACGTTGCCGGGGGAGGAATCCCGCTCTTCAACAAGTATCAGGTTCAATTTCTAAACTTCTTAAAGCAAAAGCAGATGGCTCAGTGTATAAATATATCCAGCAGCTGGATTCTCAGTCACAAAAATAACATCCTTTTACACAAGAGAAAATGGATCGACTATGAGGCCGTTCTCCATCGGTCTTAAGATCCAACATCTTCACCAACAGTTTCGTCTTCATCCTCTTCCTCCTCATCCTCTTCATCATCTTCCCCCACTTCTCCATCTCGCTTCTCTTTTTCAAGCATTTTTAGGTATTTGCTAGCCAGGATCTTCTTTGGCAAGATATCTGGAAGGTAAAATTCTTTCTTTTATAGTCTGTTTGAACACTTAGATTGCCTCATTAATACCAGTGCCTCCATACCACTAAGGATATGAAGTAAAACGGAGGCTTTGTTAAAAACATTATTATTTAAGTGAATACTGAATTAGGAATAAGAGGGAACTACCCCCTTACAGCACAAATAACCACAGATAAGGCATGTATTTTACAACTGATTACTGGCAAATTGTCTTTACTATCTGCTCACACACATGATTTATTTGATGTAAACCAGAGCACTCAATTACCCAACTGCTTTGGATTCAACAAGCTGTTTCCATCCTGCAGAAACAGGTTTTCTGCATAAAGGTAAAATATGTGCTTGGGGCAATAATGATGGACCTGAGACAACACAGAGCTGTGTGCTCTGAAAGTACAGCCATGGGGAACTCAGACTGGGCTGGGAATATCTTATTCTCCCCCTACACCCTGTGCCAACGCCTTTTTCCGAGTCAAGCGTTAGAACAAAAATACAGGTATCAGTAAAAAGTGTGTGTGCATCCACACGTGTGTGTAACGTATATATGTAAAAAAAAAAAAGGAATGAGGAGCCATAGGATGAGTCACTCAGAGCAACAGCTTCCAGATTTAAATGTGTAATTTTGGGGCCACGTAACTTCTCAGCCAAAGATGCGCAGCAATCTCGCGTTACGGGCTGGAAGCTTTCAGAGGGAGCTGCTGGAATTCCAGAAGTGCCTCAGGCAACGTGCTGAGAACTCCTGAGCCTCCTGTCATTTTGAAGCACCAGAAAAATCCCCATTCCCAAAGAAATGTTTTCAGTGACGTAGTTGCTGAGTTCCAGTTGAATGCTCTACAGGAGACTAATGACCAGCAGAACTGTGTCCTCACAAAACAATTCAATAAGAGCAAAATTTCCTTTTCCAAATTACACACTGGATTTACCCCCACGCTATAGATACCTGCAAGGAACTGGAAGGTCTCACACTCTTCTGCAGTATGAGACAGGTCACTGTAAGTTAGAGCGTTCTTCTCCTTGCCTCTGCCATGTTTGTAGGAGTACGTAGCCAAATACTGAACAAAAAGTTCCTACAAAATTAAAACACAAGTCAAACTATGAATTCACACATACAGCTGCCAGCAGTTTTCTTTATTCCCTTTTTAAAGGCACAAATGCCACATTTAACTGCACGTATTTGACACTTTGTGGAGAGATGCACTAATTTCAGAAGAGCTGAAGTTCAGGATATAGTTGCCTCTCCTTGGAGAACCGACTGCAGGTTTGGGTTCTGGTACATCACTTAATTTGTGCTGCTTTTCGACACTTCCCACAGCCCAGGAAATGACCCTTGGGATGAGAAAGCAGCAGGGTATCATTTCCACACAGGCTAATTTGTATTAATTGACAGTGGTGGAAATAAGAACCTCCTGCATTGCTCACAGACTCCTGGAGCTCAGCTGGATGGGAAGATGCCCAAACCCTCAGCAAGTTTGCCGATGACACCAAGCAGTGTGGTGTGCTCAACAAGCTGGAGGGAAGGGATGCCATCCAGAGGGACATGGACAGGCTTGAGAGGTGGGCCCGTGTGAACCTCATGGAGTTCAACCAAGCCAAGTGCAAGGTCCTACACGTGGGTCATGGCAATCCCATGCACAAATACTGGCTGGGCTGAGAATTGCTGGAGAGCAGCCCTGAGGAGAAGGACATGGGGGTGTTGGTGAATGAGAAGGTCAACATGAGCTGGCAACATGTGCTCACAGCCCAGAAAGCCACCTGCATCCTGGGCTGCATCAAAGGCAGCGTGGCCAGCAGGGTGAGGGGGGGGGAATTTCGTCCCTCTGTTCCACAGGTCAGACCCGACCTGCGTCCAGATCTGGGACCCCCAACACCAGAAGGCCATGGACATGTTGGAATGGGTCTGGAGGAGGACCACAAAGATGATCCAAGAGCTGGAGCACCCCTGCTGCGAGGACAGGCTGAGAGAGCTGGGGTTGTTCAGCCTGGAGAAGTCTCTAAGGAGACATTACAGCCCCTTCCAGCACCCAAAGGGCCTGCAGGAGAGACAGGGAGGGACTCTTTATCAGGGAGTGGAGCCACAAGATGAGGCGTAACGGTTTTAAGCCCAAAGAGTGTAGGTTTGGGTTAGATATCAGGAAGAAACTCTTTCCTGTGAGGGTGGTGAGACACTGGAACAGGTTGCCCAGAGAAGCTAGGGCTGCTCCATCCCTGGAGGGGTTCAAGGCCAGGCTGGATGGGGCTTGGAGCAACCTGGTCTGGTGGGAGGTGTCCCTGCCCAGGGCAGGGGGGTTGGAACCCGATGATCTCCAAGGTCCCTTCCATCTACCCGTGATTCTACACAGCCCTTTTTCCACAGCGAGAGACCGACGCCTGAAGCTCGATGGCCGCCGAGCGTTGGGCCCTGGCAGCGGGGGAAGTCCCACCGGCCGGGGACGAGCCCGGCACCGACACGGAGGGAGGCGGGAGCCCGGCCCTGAGGCGGCGGCCCCTCAGGGAGGCGCAGGCCCAGGCCCGGCGGGGAAGGGCGCGGGGCCGGCGGAGATGGAAGGGGAAAGGGGAGGCGGTACCGTGGCTTTGGCGGTGAGGAAAAGCGCGTCCTGGTTGATGCTGGAGACCTCCGGGGAGCTCTTCATGATCACGCGGATCCGCGACAGGGGCAGCGACACCAGCCGGTTCTCCCCGCCGCTCGGCCTCGCCGCCATCTTTTCCCCCCCCGAACCCCGGCACCGGCTCCGGCCCTTCCCCCCAGCCCGGCGAAAAATGGGCGGTCGCCGCGGCCCGCCGGGAGCTGTAGTCCCCGGCCGCCATGGGGGGAGGACCGGCGGGACTACAGCTCCCAGCAAGCCGGGCGGAGGGAGGACTACAAGCCCCAGGGCGCTCCTCGCCCTTCTCCCCGCCCTTTCCCGGCGGCGGGGCCACCGCTGTTCCTGAGGTGGAAGGCGGGCGCCGTGAGGAACCGGGATGTCCGGCTGCTGGTACCTCGGGGTAGGGGAGTCTCCTCTCCCTTTCCTCCGTGTTCCCAAAGCGCCGGGAAGGGCCTGAGCGTTCCCCCGGGCCGGCCCGGCCCCGCCGCCTCGAGGGGGGGGTCCCCCGGCCCCGCCGCCTGGGCCTCAGCCTCCGGGGTCTGGGGCGCTTGTTTTTAATAAGAAATAGGCTCATCCCATGCACATCCCAATTACAGCCCACTGGCTACAAAATTATTAACTCGGACTGTAATTACAGGCTGCTAAATACCCCTTTTTGCCGCCCTGGTGCAGCAAGAGAGAACGCCGCCTGGTAGTCCTCACGCTCGCCAAACTGGAAGAGGGGAGATTTAGGTTAGATATCTGGAAGGAATTCTTTGCTGTGAGGGTGGTGAGACACTGGAACAGGTTGCCCAGAGAAGCTGTGGCTGCCCCATCCCTGGAGGGGTTCAAGGCCAGGCTGGATGGGGCTTGGAGCAACCTGATCTGGTGGGAGGTGTCCCTGCCCAGGGCAGGGGGGGTGGAACTTGATGATCTTTAAGGTCCCTTCCAACCCAAACCATTCCCTGTTGGGGTGTGGATGGTACATGTAAACTATTACATGATTATGGGGCTCTGTCTTTATTATTAGCACATTCGTCATGTACAGAGAGTATTTAACCTGTGTGTCTGCTGTGCAGGTACCTTGTAACGTGCTGCTGGATGACCAGTGTCAGCCCAAGGCTGCCGAAGGTGAGGGAGGTTTTGCTGCTGCTGCTGTTGGCTCCATAAGTTTGGTCTGTGCCTCTTGGAGTAAGAGCTGATGTTCTTCCAAAAACGGTGATGCATCTGGAGAATAAGTCTTTTGAAGAGAGGCTGAGGGAGCTGGAGTTCAGCCTGGAGAAAAGGAGGCTGAGGGGAGACCTTATCACTCCCTAAACTCCCTGAAAGGAGGTTGTAGATAGGTAGGGGTCAGTCTCTTCTCCCAAGTCACAGGCAACAGGTCAAGAGGAAATGGCCTCAAGTTGCACCAGGGGAGGTTCAGATTGGATATTAGGAAAAATTTTTACACTGAAAGGGTTATTAAGCCTCGGAACAGGCTGCCCAAGGAAGTGGTCGAGGCACCATCCTGGGAGGTATTTAAAAGACGGGTTGACATAGTGCTTCGTGACATGGTTTAGTGATGGTTTTTTATCAGAGTTAGGTTGATGGTTGGACTTGATGATCTGAAAGGTCCCTTCCAACGTAGACAATTCTATGATTCTGTAGTTTGCATTTCGTTAATGGCTTAATGTGAATAACTTAAGTGAAAAGTTTCCAATATGCTTTACAAACAATACGCCTGATGATTTGTACTGGTAAGAAGGCTGCTAAGGCCTTTGATAGCTACTTAGCATGAGAGGGAAGAACGGGAGGTTTTCCATAGCATGCAATAATAGTTTACATGGAATTAAGGGCAAAAAGGGATGTACCCAAAAAGAATCATATTAAATGGAAAATACAGGGAATTTGTTAACAGAATATTACTTGTTTACATAGAATTTGCCCAATACATAAGGACAATCATAGAATCGTTTTGGTTAGAAAAGACCTTTAAGATCGCCAAGTTCAACCCTTAACTGCCAAGTTACCACTAAGCCAGGTCCCTCAGCACCACATCTTCACGTCTTTTAAGCACTTTCCTACAGATGATAGGGATTTATTATTAATAAAAGAGAGCACCTTGAGCAGTTGTCAGCACCTTTGTGCAAGGGTGGTGCAGTGATGTGTTCACTGGCATCAGTTCCAACGATACGGTATCTGGAGACATCTTTTACTTTAAGCCATTACAGATAATCTCTTCGGCTGCCCAGTTCCTTGGAGGTTACAACTTCTTTGAGGCCATTCTGTGTTAAGTTCTCTGAAGTGAAGCATCGTGTCCTGGGAGCTGTATGGATATCGAGCAGGCTCAGTTTGCTCCTTCAGCCTTATCCTCTTGTGACATCTTGTGGAAAAAATCGACATTACGACAACAGTGATTTTCTTACAGATTCTACTGGGGTCTTTCATTATTTCAATGTACATATAAACCCCCATCAAACTTCCAAGATTTCTGAGGGCATTGAGCTATTTGGATATGGATTTAGGATCCGTATAGATCCCATAGGCTGTAGGGACCTGCCTGTAGTCATTATACTCAGCTGTGGACAACACAGTTTAAGGTGGTCTGGGCAAACCTGGGCTCACTCTTCTCTGGGTCCTATCTCAGCTGTTTCCTCTTTGCTGTGCAGTGCTCCCTGAAAGGCCACGTGTGGGACAACACTGTCTTCTTCAGTACCATGCTGGGCAGAAGATGGCTTTCAGCTGATGGAGAACAGGAGTAGGAGCACAGCAAACTTAAGGCTGCTAACACAGCTCTAGTTTGCGGGAGACAATCAATACATCTGTATAGCATAAGGTGGGTGTGCACACAACTCTGAAAATAACCATGATATTGCAGTATTACTGATATTTAAGAATGTAGCTTTTTAAAAAAATATATTCTGAAATTGTAAAATTAATGTCGTAGCAGTAACGGAATCGAACCTGCTCCTAATTAAAACAAACAAATCCGTAGAGTGGTTCATACTGGAATTATTTCTCTTGAATCAGAACTGGTGTTGTTATTAAGAAATCTTCATTAAACCTGATTGTGAACGCAGGTAAAATAAATCTCTCCTTGGGTCAATTCAAAACAAGAGTTTGCCTAAAAAGCAATATGCCCTGCTCAGGATAGGGAGTGTTTGTACTAATTACAACCTGGAGAGCAGCATCACAGCTCGGGCTCTCCTTTCCTACCGCCCCGGTCTGTGTGAGAGGAGTCCTTTTTGCTGTGCTCTGCAGACCTGAGTAAGAAACTGCTCAGTGCAGCTATTTTTAAGCTCTCTAACTAAATTAGGTCTAATAAAGGAACGACCAGAGATGGTGTTCTTGTCCCACAGTGAAGATTTGTTGTTGCTGACGCTTTTGAGCTTCCCTTTAGTAATCTCTTTTTTTTTTACTTCATTTTATAAATAGGCCTGTACCTGGGCAGGTTGCTCTTATCGTGCTGATTTGCCATCTCTGCTGAGGGTTGGAGCCTCCTTATCTTCTGGTTTGTGCTTCTTGGGCACCTGTGCTTGCTGGCAGAACATGGGGAGCTGAAAAGTCCCAAATTTAGGGTAAATACTACCAAAACATCCGTGTGTTATCTTTTCTTATACTAAAAGCCTAAACACAGCACTGTACCAGCTGCTAGGAAAATCACTAAGGAAAATTAACTCTATTGCAGCCTAAAGGCTTCAGCAAATTTAACTGCTCAGGCTAAGTAAAGCTAAGCAAAGAGCATAAATCACACCATATTATAACCTGAAGTAATTTATTCTATTACTTATTTAAGCTAAACAACTAATATGTCTTAACACTAGCTGCCGGCCGGGGTTAAAGCAGGATACAGGGATAGATAGATGTAGATATATATGCTTTTTCTTGTATATATCTGTGTTATATGTATGTAAATAAAATGAAATTATAGAAGAAGAGTCTGGTTGCTGAACTTTGATTTCCAACTCTCCCCATAGCAGGCAACATCCAAAGAAGTCAGTCTGCAGTACGTCTCTTGTGTTATAGAATCATAGAATGGTTTGGGTTGGAAGGGACCTCAAAGATCACCCAGTTCCAACCCCCCTGCCCTGGGGAGGGACACCTCCCACCAGACCAGGTTGCTCAAAGCTCCATCCAGCCTGGCCTTGAACCCCTCCAGGGATGGGGCAGCCACAGCTTCTCTAGGCAACCTGTTCCAGTGTCTCACCATCCTCACAGGAAATAATTTCTTTCTGGTATCTAATCTAAATCTCCCCTCTTCCAATTTAAAACCGTTACCCCTTGTCCTGTCCCTACCCTTCCTGTAGGCTCCCTTCAGATCTTGGTAGGCTGCTATGAGGTCTCCACGGATCATCACCCCCAAGACCTTCTCAGCAGGGCTGTTCTCCATCCCTTCACCGCCCATCCTGTGCAGATACCAGGGCTTGCCTCGACCACAAGCGCAAGATCCTCCCTTGGCCTTGTTCAACCTCACAAGCCCCAACATGAGGCTCATCATTCTCGGGCTTTTCCAGATTTTTGCCCTTTAACCTATAAAGACCGGTGTCGGGATTTGGAAACGCTGACAGGAGGCTCGCTTCTGGCCGCCGCTACACGTTAGAACCCCCGAAGTTTTCAGTTTTCACACAGAATCACAGAATCTTCTAGGTTGGAAGGGACCTTAAAGATCATCTTGTCCAACCGTCAACCTAACTGACAAAAATAGACACCCGCACAACAAACAAGGAGCATCATCACTAAACCATACCTCCCAGCACGACATCAACCCGTCTTTTGAACACCTCCAGGGATGGTGCCTCAACCACCTCCCTGGGCAGCCCATTCCAATGGCTGAGAACCCTTTCAGTGAAAAAATATTTCCTAATATCCAGCCTGAACCTCCCCTGGCGCAACTTGAGGCCATTTCCTCTTGTCCTGTCGCCTGTGACTTGAGAAAAGAGACCGATCCCCATCTCTCTACACCCTCCTTTCAGGTAGTTGTAGAGAGCAATAAGGTCTCCCCTCAGCCTCCTCTTCTCCAGGCTGAATAACCCCGTTCCCTCAGCCTCTCCTCATAAGACTTACTCTCCAGACCCCTCACCATCTTTGTCGCCCTTCTCTGGACCCGCTCCAGCACCTCGATGTCTTTTTTTATGGTAGGGGGGCCCAAAACTGGACACAGTACTCATGGTGAGGCCTCACCAGTGCCGAGTACAGGGGGACAATCACCTCTCGGGCCCTACTCGCCACGCTGTTCCTGATACAGGCCAGGATGCTGTTGGCATCCCAGCAGCAACCCTGAGGAGACATCGCCTCAGAGAAACCGCCCGCCATTACTGCTCCCCCCCCTTTGCGCACGCGCCGAGCTCCCCCGGCGGGGCGGGCCCGCGCGCCCATTGCCGTCAGTTCCGCCCCGCGCGTCCGGCAGCAGGAGGCGGCGGGGGGCGGTTCCTGTCCCGGCTGTGAGTGCGCCCCCCCAATCCCCGCGTTACCGCCCCCGGGTCCTGTGGCGGCCGCCGCCACCCCCCCCTTCCCTGAGAGGCTCTGCCCTTCCCTCAGCCCCCACGGCCGCTCCCCTGATTCCCCCCAGCTCCTCTCGCCGCCCCTCAGCCCCCTGCCTTCCCCAGCTCTCCGCCCGCCCTGGCGGGACGCGGCCTCCGGCTGAGGCGGCGGGGGCCGGGGGCTGCCTCGCTGGAGTTGGGGAGTTTTGGGGGCGGAAAGGGGCTTTACACCCTCCGGCCTCCCTCCGCCCTGCCGGTAGTTCTGAGGAAATACCCCTCCCTCCTCAAAGGGCTGCTGGGCTGCCACCTGCGCTCCCTGCTTCTCTTTTTTCTTCCTTCTCTCTGGTAAAAGCAAGTTGTGTCGGGCTAAAGGTGTGCTGCCTTGTGGTTTGGTTCTTTAATTTTTTTTTTCTCTTTTTTTTTTTGGTGGTGGTATGTACATTTTATAGCGTCCTGTGGAGCTGGAGTCCACCAAGGGGTCTGTGGTGGATCCGAGAGGTCTGAGGGGAGATGCGAGGGCTTAGGGATGCACATCTTGGACATTAGGAAACAATTCTTCACAGAGAGAGTGGTCGGGCATTGGAATAGGCTGCCCAGGGAGGTGGTTGAGTCACCATCCCTGGCTGTGTTTAAGAACCGTTTAGATGTGGTGTTGGGGGATATGGTGTAGGGGAGAACTTTAGAGTAGGGTGGATGGCTGGACTCGATGATCCCGAGGGTCTCTTCCAGCCTAGATGATTCTGTGATTCTGTGATTTTGTTTCAGAGGCACAGCTGTGTCCAGTAGTCAATTTCAGACAGCTCAGGGGAGAAGGAAGTCTAAATATTTACATATAAAAGCGAAAACATTGCCTGGTCCTTTTTGATGAACCAGCCTTGTGTTTTGAGAAAGTGACGACTTCACTTTTTCTCAAAAATAAGTGTTTTCTGGACCTGGTTTTCCTCTCCCCGGCCATATGTGAGTGCTGACAGCTGTGTAAAGTTTGGTCATTCTGATGGGGGGGGTCTGCTTACATCCCACCTCACGCAGTTTTCTGCGTTTCCCCAAGGAGTGGTGTGGAGATGGACTGGAGAGCCCAAGTCCCAAAGGACATCTCCTCTGAGGTGGTGCCTTAGCAAGCGTTTAATCTGGGGCTGTGGCAGGGAGAAGACTCTGCTGCCCCGTCTGTGAGGTCGGCTTGCGTAGCTGCACGGTGAATGGGTAACTGACTTGCTTGGAAAAACCTAATTTACAGGGTTTTTTTGTTTGTGGCTATACTAATACATGTCTAAGAGCCCTCATTGTGCACCGTGTAACTTCATCAGTAGGCTGCATGATTGAAGATTTAGTAAAATGATGAAAGAAAGTATTAGTATTGTAGCACATATATACAGGATGCAGAAGTATTTAGCATCGTCCTGGTTGGATTCAGCAACAGTGTGTGCTTCTGAATGTTAAAAAATAATATACGTTTTTCTCTTACTAGCCTGCAGTTGGTGCAAAATGAGTGTTCCCGACTACATGCAGTGTGCTGAGGACCATCAGACCCTCCTGGTTGTGGTGCAGCCAATTGGCATTGTACCCGAAGAGAGCTTTTTCAGGATCTACAAGCGGATTTCGGCAGTGAGTCAGGTTAACGTGCGTGACTCCCAGCGTGTGCTGTACATCCGTTACAGGCACCATTATCCCCCAGAGAACAACGAATGGGGGGATTTTCAGACACACCGGAAAGTTGTGGGGCTGATAACTATCACAGACTGTTCTTCCGCAAAGGAATGGCCTCAGACTTTTGAAAAGTTCCATCTTCAGAAGGAAATGTATGGTTCTACTCTCTACGATTCCCGGTTGTTTGTCTTCGGGCTTCAAGGAGAGATTGCGGAGCAGCCCCGCACGGATGTGGCGTTCTATCCCAGTTATGATGAATGTGAAACTGTGGAGAAGAGAATAGAAGATTTTATCGAATCCCTCTTCATAGTCTTGGAGTCTAAGCGGCTTGACAGAGCCACTGATAAGTCTGGAGACAAGATCCCACTCCTCTGCGTTCCCTTTGAGAAGAAGGATTTTGTAGGGCTGGACACAGACAGTAGGTAAGCAGCTATTTTTGTCAGCTCGTGGGTCTTGAAAACATACATGTGGCAATTGCCAGCCTTCATAGTACGCCTGTTAGAAAGGACAAAATGTAATTTGTTAACTGTCTTGTTGTGTACCTCAGTGGTAATTTGAGAGAATTTAATTTGTTAATTAATTTAATACATAAACTCAAACCACATTCAATGTTTTGAGTGAGTTCATATATATATAATTTATGAGGCTAAT